GTCCTTTATGAAGGCATAGAGCCTTTACTACATGAAAATGAAAATTAATGAATACACAGTGTACAGTAATTTATCTGATAAGACAGACCTCAGAAAAATACTTTATGAGGCATAAATCTGTCTATAATAAAAATTAACTAGGGGTTTTCTCTCCCTGCCAGGGTGTGGCCGAGTTATCCGGACTGCCGGGTTATCGAGTGGCGAGTTTTCGAGACAATCCTGTATTGAAAATTATAACAAGGTAATTACGGCTAATAGAATATACGGTAATTATATTCTATTAGCCGTAATTATACATTATAATAATAATAATTATATACGGTAATTACGGCTTACAGAAACACGGCTTCCCTATCATCAAATGTCACGGCACGCCACTGATATTGGGGCCTCTAAATTGAATTAACATATTGAAATAAAGGAAATAAACGAAAAAAATATAGTGCCCTACTTCTCAAGACCAAGGGCATTTTGCTCCTTTTCCTATCCTGGGTGTCTCTTATATAACTATTCAATCGAAGCTTGACTTGCTTTCCCAATTTTATGTTGCCCCTTGGATGTCCCTGATTTATTAATATATACAATCTATTATTTCTTAACCATAAACGAGGGACTTTTGGGAGAACCTGAAAGCCCACTAGTGACTAAATTGATAAAACCACTGAACACTAGTGGATTCGTGCCTGACTAATGGTTTATTTCACGTGTCACACCTTAATAGGGGACAGTTTCCCATCGATTGTCCTTCTCCTTGGCGGATCTCCCCTTATTAATATTACATGTGGCGTTTATCGTATTATTGTTTTTATTTTCATTATACAGTAATTTATATTACGTAAATGAGTTTAAAATAAACATAAACTAGTTTCTTTATAAAATGAGTCAGTAGGTCCTTTTCAAAAAGTCCCATTTTAAATTGATTTCTTTGAATTCACTCGGTTCCAATACGTCATAACAATTAAATTTAAATGATATTTTTAATAAAATTTGACGTATACAATTTAAAAAGGAAAAACTCTTTGCTTTGTGGGCACTGAGAGGGCCTTTTTTTAGCAAGGTCATTATGTTCGTTAAGGCTTGGTTTATTTGGTTACAGTAACACGACACGTGGGCAATCTGCCAAGAGGGGTGCTCCCATGAGAACATTGGGAAAGTTACCCTTATTTAAGTGTTCACATGGAAAATTTCACATGGTCAGTGAGGAGCCCCAGTATTCAGGGCCCACCGCTTGGCCACTGGTGGGCCCTGATCGCCCAAGTGTTGCGCTGACTTATTTTATTAGTCTAATCCAATCCCTCGAAAAGGACATATATATATAATCAAACCTCTGAACAACGGCCACCGAAAGGAACATAAAAAATGGTCGCGGATTAGAGGTGGTGTTATTGGAGATTTGACCGTATTATTTTATTGATACATTATGCAAATTTAATGTCATTTGTAAAATTAAAACGTGTTGAATTTAAATTAATTTTATTACTTTATGAATTGTTTCGGATCGGTTTCAAGCTTATTAAACAAATTTCGATGTTTTAAAATTAAATATTTAAAGAAAAGCAGTAGTAGTAATAGGGGAAGAACAACTAAAAATTGTATTAGTAGTAGGCTAGAAGTACAAAAGAAAGAGGAGGAAAATAAAAAAATAGAATTAAAAAAATAAAGAAATTTTAGCAACAAAAATATTAGAAAATTAAAAACGGTGAAAATGAGGGAATATTTTAAATGAATAAAAACAATTATAAAATAGTTTCAATTCAACTATAATATACGATAATGTTAAAACCATTTTCGAATTTGTTTTACAAGTTAGATCAAGATCGACATAAAACAAATTTTTTAAAATTTACATAAAGCTACGTTTATCGTGTGTATGTCAGTTATGCCCAGTTACATCGAAAAAGTGTTGCCTGATAAATGACTGGCCATCTTCCACGGCAAATTATCACCAAATGTTTTTGTAGAAAGAGTGCAGTGAACTATTATTCCTACGACTATTTTTAGATGGTGTTTTGCTTCAATAGAATTATAACTCACCTTATCACAAAACACAAAATAAAATATTTTGTTTCTATAGGCCAATGAGATATTCTTAGTTACTATTATGCGAGTACGAAGAACAGAAATTGTTTATCCTATTTTAATGCTTAATAATGGTTAATAAATTAACGTTTATAATAAGAATTATTTACATAAATAAAGGACTTTAAACAATTTAAATTAATTTATTTATAAAAAATTAAAAAATAAATTTATATTCGTTTTAGTTGTTTTTTTTTAATTTTTTATTAGTTAAATTTATAAATTATTTTTGTAATTTTTATGAACAGTTTCGCATTATTTATTACAAAGTTAAACATGTAATTTTTTTATAAATATTTTGAAGAAGAAGATGGAGAAGCAAAAATAGAGGAGGAGGAGGAAGATTAAGAAGTGGAAGAAGAAGAAAATAGCATTTTTATGAAGCAAAATTTATTATTTTTCTGAATAAGCTTTAATTAATTTATGAAATAAAGTTTCATGCTGTTTATAAAAAGTAATGAATAAATCCAAATTTATTGTTTATTTTTCACAAACAAAATTAAATTGTACTTCAAATTGCATGCAATTTTTGAAACTTAAAAAAGTTTTTGCAACATAAAAAATATTTTTTATTGATAAATTAAAATCTTTATCTTTACACCATTTTTAAATATTGTTGTTAATCTAGTTATTTATTAATTTTTTTATATATAAATTAAATAAGTTGTATGAGTTCTAACGCGTACCAAGTTCTTTCTTGTTATTAAATCAAGGCCTATTATTTTCATGTTTACCTTGAATCAATTTTACTTGTCAATATTTTTATATGTGTAAAATAAAATTGTTCTGAATTATTCTTTAAAAAATAGTAATAATAATTAATGAGAGGCGATAAAGTTTATAATAAGTTCAAATATCTTTTCTTAAAATTATTGCGGACAAACATTAATTTTTTTCTTTTTTCTTTACACATTTCATTAAAAATGTCTAAAATTTTTATTTAAAAAATTACTTTTATATATTTTCAGTTATTTATTTATACGTTTAGCGAATTAAATTATTTTTTAAATTGAATTTTCATGTAAAAAACCTAAGTTTATAATGTATATTTATAAAACTATAATTCAAAGCTTCATATTGACTTTAATAAGACTAAATAAGTAAGAATTGTTATTGGATCTTTATTTCTGCGAGTAAATATAAATTTTTAAAAATTTTACAACAATTATATAATGACATTAAGCAGTATTAATATATTTGCTAATGTGCACGACCTTTATCAAAAAGCATTCACATTGGAAACAATAATAATGAGGGTTATATTTATTAAAATTTATTATCTTCGTGACACTGATCTCTGTTTATTGTTTGAAACTATAAATTAAAAATCGAAGAATTTAATTACTAAATATAGCATCTGTTTTAATAGAATAAATCGAGTTTTTCTTGATTTTAATCGGGCTGATTTGCATATACACAGTTTAACTATTAAATTAACCTATAAAGCCCTTTAAAAATCAAATTAAAAACACACTTAAATACTATTTACATTATTTATTTACAGTTTTAAAGTTGCAGATTTAAGAAAAATGTATAAATTTTTATCAAATTCGTTCGAGTTTTAGCTGTATTTAATATGCATAAAATACTAAAAAGTCTTACCTTTAATCAATCAAAGATTTTAAAATGTACTATCTTCGAATTGCATATAAAGTCCCATGAACTACCCGCCACTGGATAGCCTCAGGATATGACGTCAGAAGTCGCGAGTACGTAATAGACCGGAACGTTACGTTGCGAGAAGAGAACACCATTGGTAGAAAGGTAGTATTCAGCGACTATTGCTGAGAAAGGAAGCACACCTGAGAGTATACTAAAGATGTTCGAGAAACGAAGGAGGAATCTCTGTACTCGCCCACTGTTCAGGATCAACAGTGCGTAACTTTAGCTTGATTTACATTCTAGAACTGGTTAATTGTATTTACACTGTGTACATTCTGTTTAATTAAAGATGGATTGAACGAGAAGAGTGTGGAAATCTATAAAGGTGAGAATTATTATCGAAATTTTAAAATGACAACGTTTAGTTTTCTTATAACGAGCAGCGGATACACACGCCCCTGAAGGCATATGCCAAGCAGAAAAATGGCAATGAACCCTTCGCGTTTACTTTTCGTGTTGTAAAATAGTACGTTTAAATAGATTTATGCTTGCTTTTGTTTAAAATCTTCTATTTTTGAAGGAAAATATTTATAGAAAATAATTAAGTAATATCTCGTAACAGTATGAAAGATTAAAATTTCGCAATGTTATATTGTTCGAACTCTCTTGAAGCGAACAATGGTGTCACGTAATAAAAATGCATATTTATATATAATAATTTATATTTTACTTTAAAATAAGTTTTTTCAGTAAACTTTTTAAATATTTTTTTTTTAATCAACACGAAAGTTGGCGTGACAATATATGTTCCACCCAAAAAACATTCTCACAGTGACACACAGAAAATAGTTTTTCACTTTTATGTAAAATAGATAAATAAAATAAAAGGAGGAGGCGAAACTAGTTCAGTCGGTTTCGGTTTTTTGAAAATGTAAACAACCAAATTATATATATATTTTTAAAAAAATTGGCAAGGTTTTCGTTTAGAATAACCCAAAGTTTTTTCAAAAAAATATTTACTGTTTAGTTTATAAACCAAGAAAAATAAATTTTTTATTTTTTAATATTAAAAAATTATTTTTTAGTATGCTTTAATGCTGTTTTTACTCAGCGATCGATCGGAAATGTAAACATACGAACACAGATCAATAACAAAAATGTCAACAAATGACCTTGTGATAACATCCTTTTTAAATTTATCATTTAACAACTTTCATATTTATCATTAATTTTATTTTCATTTGAAATAATTGCATTTCTGACGAAGCATATGTCTAATTTCTCGACAAATTTTATTTTCATTTAAGATTAATCATCCTTCTATGTAAGGAAGCATGGAAGAGTGATGATAAACAAATTATTTCTCAGTTCAATTCTTTGAGAAGTTTAATATTAAAGTACTGTATATCGAAATAATGAATAAATGAAATAGTTTAAAGTAAAAAGAAAAAAAATCTAAAATATTTTTGTGGCGGTTTTGCGAATGCCCCTCTGAAAACCATTCAACCAAAACAACTAATTTGACAGGAAACGGTCGTTCTCCGAAATAATCACCTGTCTTCATCGTATAGCTTTTCCATTTATCTTAAAATGTACGGATGCCCTTTTATATATGTCTATATAATTATAAGTGTGCATCAAACCAGTTCTCATTAGTATACATTTCTCCTTAATGAGCACCCCAAAACCTTGAGAACGTGATCTACATCGTTTCGGTATATAGGCGTACGTGATCGTTAAATTACTGTTTTTCTCTTCCCCTTATGAAAATAAAGCATTAAAAAACATCCCAAGTTATTATCGTCGTCATTATAAAATAAAGTAGTTTAAATTTTTACGGACCGTATCTTGGGTGCATGAACATTAATGAGCTTTAATGGTAAAGGAAAGGCAAATATGGCGATGGTCGCACGGTTCAATCTGTAGAGAATTGTGAGAGTCTATATAATTGCTTATTACACTAGCAATAAGCATTGAGATAAAATAGTGACATGCAAGATTAATAATAGCCGAACTTGTTAGCAGACACGACATCAATTGAGGTTAATTTAAATTTATACATTTTATTATTAATGACCTTGATTTTTAATATGAATAGTGTTCCTAATTAAAACTGTATGTAAAAACGTATTTAAGTGATAAAATTGCTGGTAAAATATCTTTTAATCATTACAGTTAAGCAGACTAGCCTTGTTAAACCAGAAAAATCTTGTTATATAAATAGTGTAGATCATCTAAGTTTCACATTTATCTTTCTTCCAGTATTTTAAACATTAATTCTATTAAGATGTAGAGGCATTAAATCGCACTTTGTGCCTTCTTATGCTTTTTGATCATAATACAACTAATAGACAATATTGAATAATAATAAAATTATTTCAAAATATTTTATACTCTTATATTGAAACTCTAAAAATGTAAATTATATATTAATTTAATAAATCATAAATTTTATAAAAATTCTACTCACTTAATAAATTATATATAAGTATATATATAAACTTTCCCTTTCTAAAACCTGTAAGTTAGCATTAGTGGAACTAATAATGTAATAATCTCTAATTCATAAAGTAAAATTTTTCATGATTCAAATGATCGGAACGGATTGATTTTTTAAAGTTTGTGATCGATCCACTGAGTCTTATAATTCTTAAATATACGTAATATTACGAGCCAGCAAATAGCCACAAATGTTTGAATTATGGGTCAATGCCCGCTGACCTTGAAGGGGTCGTATATTCTGTCTGAGAAGACGTCAACCTCCCGCCAGTTCCTCTAGAAAAGATACAAGGTAAAAGGAATATCTAAAGATATTATTTTAATTCAATACTATTATATGAAAAAGTTTTTAAATTAGTTTTGTATATAATAGTCGAGGCTTTAAAGTCATCATGCAAGGTTTTAACAATTAAAAAACAAAGGAAATACATCAATAGGAAAAACATTTTAGTTAACACTTCAATAGTATTGATAATCATGCACTGTAATTCCTTTAACTTAAAATGTCCTTGCGTATGTTTATATCTTGATGTTCCATATTTTTGTATATCAGACAATATAAAAAATTTTTATCCAATAAACAAAATAGGTTTTGTTAAATTCCCGATAAAATAATGAACAATTCAAGTTCTTTTCACGTTTCACACAAAACTAAACATTTGCATTGACATACTTTTTTAATTAAAGATAAGCTGAATAAGCAGAGATTCAGAAACTATTATTGTAATTGAAGGAATTTTTCATTTAATAAAAATTATTAAAATTTAATCCAAAAATGTGGCAAATGACAAAAATTTTAACATTGATTAATGCCATTTTTGTGTTATAAAACGATGTTTTATTATGCGTAAGATGTTGCCATTTATCAGATAAAATGCGAATTTTATTTTTTTAAAACCTATCTTTCTCAAAGATGATTTATTATTGTATCTTTTTATTAGATTTTACAGGTATAACATGGTGATATCCGCTTTTTATTGAATATATAATTTTTGTTTGTGAATAATGAGTAAGAAAAGTTATTATAACTTCATAACTAAACTTACACAATTGATGATATTGACCCTTAAAGTCGCAAAAAATTATAAACTAAAATTTTAAAATAATTAATATTCTGTAATTATTTTTATATATCAAACTGTAGTCTTTGTTTTCTGCCCTTTCGAGTTCGTTCAATTTCTCTGTCACATCCTGCCTTTTTTTAAAATTAACCGGATGTTACGTAAATAACTGAACGGACAACGTGGATTACTAGAAACTCCCTATTTTTTAAATCCTATATTTTTGTATGAATGCGTGCTTAATGATAAAGTATGGCCTCAAATTGTAGAGAGAGTAGTGTAGTTTCCAGGATGTTCTTATACGCCTGTACAGTACATTAGTGAGCTGATGTTCGTTAGATTAACATGAAACTAGTGAGGATTACAAATTTTAATATTTTCTTTTTCTAAATTTCGTAGTTTTAGAAGCCTGAAGACATATAATGTGGCAAATGGAGCGAAGATACTCAGTGCCTCCGAGTACGTTGTCTGATCCATCAGGAAGATATCATACCACAGAAGATCTTCATGCATGGAGTATTTATCGCCAAAATCTTAATTCGGACTTCACTGATAGTGCCCTGGGAAGTTCAGAGAAGTCACAACCACCTTTCGGTAATTTTCAATTGCGTGAATCAACTGTTCATACAATTCTAAATCATCCCAAGTATGGACCGAGAGAAAGGCAATCGGAATTGGGTACTAACATATATACTTATCTCAGATTTGGATTACCACGTGTGTTTCCTCATGGAAAACCTCTCAAAAGCTCAAGTGGTTATGATTCTAGTGATGACGGCTCTCCGTTCTTAGATCCAAAGAGGAGGACACGCAGTGATCCGGATTTCAGAAGTCACTTTGAATGCATGCATCGTCGTCCACCCACTCAAAATATAAGAGCTAGTAGCGAAATGGACTTGAAACACCATACAATGAGATCGGAAAGAAAACAACAACATATTGTTAAAACACAACACGAACTTAAAGAAGGTTATCACACTCACCCTATGCCAAACAGTGATAGAAGAAGTATGATTGGTTCACATCTTTCTGTGAACAGTCGAAGCGTTCGCGGTGAAAATTACTATGGACAGGATCCTTACGCAGTTAGCGATAAATATTTATATTATGCAGGGCAACAAAATGAAGTGGAATGTCCATTACTTAGGCATCCACATTTACAAGTTCGAGATTTAACTTATGAGGTAGACATGTCTTCGGCTTGGCATACTCTTTGTGGTGGTGCAAGGACAAAATTAAGGCTTCTTGATAATCTATCATTTGAGGCTCGTGCAGGTGACATCCTTGCCATAATGTCGACTACAGGTAAGAAAATATCTTTTTAATTATCCCGCATATAGGTAATTTTTTTAAAACCTGCTTTTATTTTATAGATGATGAAGGTACTGCAGTGTTAGATATACTTGGCAATAGGCATAAAAAATGGAGATGTCGATTAAGAGGCGATTTTTTAATTAACGGTCTATATATGACTCCATCCAGACTCGAGCAGTGCCTTACATATGTTCAAAAGGATCCTGATTTTACGTCCGATATGAGTGTTAGACAAACAATGCTCTTTAACTCCTTGCTCCTTGAACCTGATCACACTAGAGAATACGACACAAAGACAAGAGTAAGGAATTAATCTTTGAAATTGATCTTCATGTAAATTTATTGTCTAAAAAACTCTAATTTTATAGATCAACGCACTTCTAGAAGATCTAGGATTAGGACAAGTGAAACACACAAGAGTCAGAGATCTAACAGATTCAGAAAAGAGGAGGCTTAATGTTGCTTGTCATCTGTTGTTTGATACAGGCAAGTACTGAACCTCGAATTTGTAGCTAGTGTAATATACATGAAGTTTTAATTTAATATTCTGGATAGAAAAAATAAAGACTTCAACTTTATTAAGTATTATTTATAATTTTTACAGATATAGTATTGTTGGATCAACCAACAAAGGGAATGGATATATTTGATACATTCTTTTTAGTAGAATTTCTACGGCAATGGGCAGCAAGAGGTCGAATAGTCATCCTCACAATTCATATACCAACTTATGAAATTTTTACAATGATTTCAAGAGGTAAATAAAATCCGATCTATATTTAAATTTAAATAAAATTGTATTAAAAAATAAATTTTTCCAGTTGCCCTAATATCGACTGGAAGAATGTTATATTTTGGAAAGAGGAAAGATATGCTTCCATACTTTGCCTATATAGATTTTCCTTGTCCTGCATTCAAAAATCCATCGGATTATTATTGTGAGTAATTTTTATTGTTTTGTGGAAAAAAAGAAAAAATTAGTAGACCATAACAACGCCATTATTTAATTATAATTTAATTTTTTCACATTATTGTTTTATTTTAGTGGACTTGGTAACATTAGACAATTTATCTGCTGAGGCATTGCTAGAATCCAGTCAAAGAGTAGAAAACTTGGTAGAAATATTTAGAAGACGTCAAGATGTATTATCTGATCCTGGTCCGCCTGGATTACCTCCTCCAACAGTTAAAAAAGTAAACATTATATCTCAGATACTCGCTTTATGGATGTAAGTGATGTTCTGGTATTTTATATTTATTTTTAATAACATAGTACAATACATATTGAGACAAATTCCTTAGCAGGGAAACTGTTGCCTTGAAACGCTTTTTTTAACACCACACAAACAATATTTTTTTTTTTCATTTTGACAAAAACAAACTCCCATCATTATATAACACACGTAAGCTTTATTATTGAATCTACATGTGGAAAATTGTTTTCAATTTTAAAAATTTCTAGGTACATGGTCATATACGTTGGAAAATGCTTTCTTCTGCCTTGAAATACTATAATTCACTTTTTTCTTGTATAAACTAGTGCATTATTCCGTACTAAATATAATTCCGTACTAAACATAATTCTGTCTGAATGTTTCTATCATTTCAACAGAATTTAAAGACTGGAATGAGTCACACACACTGGAGGATATGTAACGGCTTCAGTGACCTTTTTTTTAGACTTCTACACTATTGTTGGCCTCTTGATACCAGATTTACTGATTGGAATATTCATGTGAAAAATAATGAGACGTAATATTTTGAAACATTGTTTATATTCAGTGTTTTAAAGTACAGGATGCTTGTGCATTTCAAGATAAAAGAAGTACACTCGCAAAGAAAAGTAAATTTGATGTCTGTAATTAATGTTAGAAACTTGAATACATTACATCCTACTCCATCTACTCTATGATCTAATACAATCGATTTTCTTCACTCTGACAATATCTGTTCTGAAAAAACTTAAATATCTACAAGAGAATTTTGCTAACAATAAAAACATGATTATAATAGCATCTAAAAAATACTGGCTACCACCTAAAAGTGTGATTAGTCAACTACTTGTGACAATGTTACCAGATGTTTTCACTGATTCCCTATGACCACAAGGAACATTTTCATGATTAATACTTAAAGATACAACAGCTTCTACAATGTACTCTTAGTACCCATAGCGCAGAGTTAAAAAGTACAATGTACTCGAAACAAATTTTAATGCTATAATTTTTAAATATTTCTCGTTATTTCTTACACAAAATATTTTAACTGTCGTACCGTACTATTTTATATTTGTTAATTACATATGTCAAGTAGATTTATAAGCTATACGGGAATATTATTGAATACTTGTCTTCTTGTACTGAGAAAACTTACGTATTGGCATCAACTTGAAATTTTTCATTGACATATTTTACTTGATTTTTTTAGTACTTAGTTCTCAAATAAGCGGAAATAATCATTATGATAAATGAAAGATAAAACGTGCAATAATTTTATATTTTGCGCAATACAAGGAAGGAAATAAATGTCGAAATGTGATAAATATTGCACATTTATAATTTATAATTTGCTCTAAATGTTGCCCATTCTACTCTAGATAGTTAATAGTCCATTAAAATAGAGAAATTACTATTTAATTTTGTTCAAACAATTAGTTTTATCTACCCTGAAAGACTATCGTTTCTATGATATATATTCAGATAGATAAGAATAACCGATAAACCGCTAAAGCCATTAATTTGAAAATTCAAAATGTAAATATGTAAGATAAAATTTTCTTCTTTAAGACTTAATACAGTACATTTTTTATATTAACTTGTGTAATAATAAATTGTTTTCGTATAAAATAATTTTTAATTATTTTTTTCTATTATTTCAGACGAGTGCTAATTTACATGTTTCCATTCAATGTCATTTATTTCTGTCGGGATGTGTTCTTAGCTGCACTTATGTCAGTTTTGATTGGAGCTATTTATTGGAATATAAGAGCTGGTAAAGAACAAGCAGATGTCAGTGATAGATTTGGTTTTTATTACGTCATGATGGCATTATCAATTTGGCCTCTCATTCTAAATTGTACCACAGATAGTAAGTATTTATAAACAAATACAAGAATTTTTAATTGTAAATTATACTAATGTTTAATTACTTATTCTTTCAGTATGGGAAGAAAAATTAGCAATAGGGAGAGACATCAAGGAAGGACTTTATGGGAAATTTACTTACGTTTTATGCAAGGTACATTTGTTTACTTTTTAAAATTTGTTTTATGAAAGAAAGTTTAAATGATAAATTTTCTTTTTTATTTAGCTCACTTACAGCTTACCAGTAACGGCAATTGTATTCACAGCTTATTGTGTACCAGCATATTCCATGGCAGGCCTTCAGACTACTTCAAGAGTACATGCATTCACTGTTTATATAGCATACATGTTGTTTTACCTATTTACCATTCGTATGTTAGCGATAGCATTAAGTTGGGCTTGTTCTTCACGCCATATAGCTGCAATTTGGACTGGTATCATCATGATGCCAATATTAACTACTGCAGGTTACACTGTCCATTTTGACGATTTATCAGTAATCGTTTCGTGGTTGCAATGGTTGTCGCCAGCAAGATGGATGATGGAAAATTTATTAAGTTGGGAATTTAACAAAAATTCCAACAATAACGATTTTGATCCTAAATATATATGCAGTTATAATCCTGTCATTAAACAAAATACAATACTTGCAAGGGCAGAATGCGGTATCGTAACTGATCACCAAGCATTGAATTTTTATAAATATTTAAGTGATTGGCCACTTTATCAACCCATTATTATAACAGTAGCTTTTCACGTAATATTCTTACTTATAGGATTATTTGCATTTCTTCTAACGAAGCAAACTAGGAAGAAACGATTTCCTGTTATGTAGGAATATCAGCGTGAAGATCGATGTGTGCCAAAGTTTGCTGTAAGACCTTGTTGGACAACATACGTGTAATTAACATCACTACTTTTAGTTTATGAATATTGTTTGTGTATTTTACTATAAAAAGCTAACTTAATTTTGTAAATAAACCTTTTTATACATATAAAAAAAAGTTGTCATTGTGATGTGTACTTAAAATTGACTTTTATGTACCAAATTTTTAAGACACTGAAAATTTATTTTTTACGATTTTTATACACAAATTACCTAATATAATTGGCGGAATGACTAGGTAAAATTACAGTAAATACTGACTGCCACACTTGTGTGGCATCCAAAAGTTTCCTTTTAATAAACATTCCTTATATTTAAACTCCTTGATAATTTCATCTTTCACAGATGCCAAGGAATTTTAGCGTCAAGTCTCTCTCGACTCAAGAAAATTAAGACACACTCATATTAAAAAATTAATAATTATACAAAAATTTCGTGATCCGAATCAGAATGACAACCGTGTAATTGTACACCAGAATCGTACGAATCAATATCATCTAATGTATAAATGTGATGAACACTTCTACGTCGAGGTGGTGCTCCTTTACTTCCGGTGCGACATCTCATACATACATTGTAATCAGTTTCGGTGGTGGTGTGACGTCGCATACCACCAGGGGTACCAAATGATATCATAGACTGCGACTGACTAGAACACGAAGATAAAGTCGACGTTGGTGACATTGTGTGGTCTGTATCCGAAAGCGATTCCCAACTGGGGCTGTGGCTTGTATCTGGCTCTTCGTTCAAACACGTGATCATCACTGAATTGTGCTTCTCCCTTAGTTCTGCTATCGAATCGTGGAGTGTTAACAGTTGACGAAATAAATCATTATCTTGAGATACCAAAGAAGTCTGAAATAAAAAAAAAAAAATACATACATATTTATAAATTTTTCAACGTCTATAAATACAAATATTTTTCTTTAATTTATTTTTCGTACTCCATATTTTTATTAATACGCTATTGTTTCAGGACTAAATTAAAAAGTGTTTAAATTTAATTTATCAATAATAATAATTTAAAATTTATACATTAAATATAATTAAAACTCTAAAATGTGTCAGTGATATAAAATAGAACAAAGGTAATATATTTTGTTCTATCATTTATTAATGCATAGTATTGATAACAGATGGCGTCACAAAATTATCTAACAGTTGTCATACAGCATGATGTTTACTTGAATTTTAGAAATAAAATTCTAGTATATTCGCTATTATTTTATTTGATGCAAATGTATTTAAAATTTTCTCTTTTACAAATGAACGTTTCCAAAAAATAAAATCGACACTTCTTAAAACCAAATAGTTTATGACAATAGTGGAAACTTCTGCTGAAAACTGGGGAAAGCTTCAGCCCGCCATCTAGTGGTTTGAGGTGATAACTACACTTCACTCAATTTGTATCGCTTGTATAAGGAGACATTTTTTGGTATTAATATATATATATAATAATAATAATAATACACTTTTGAACATTTTTATATTTCACAATAATTAGAATGGTCGGAAGAGGGGTTATTCGCGCTATGTATGGCTGCTTTAACTATAAGATACAAAGTGATCGCAAATCTTTTTACAGATTCCCTAAAAACAAGTGTAAGTAAATTCATAAACAATTAAATTGTTTTTATTTATATTAACATTCCTCATTTAAAATATTATCATTCAACGTATATGTTTATATTGATTTTCAGATGCACTCAGTGGGTTATTAAGAGCAGAAGGTTTGATTTAGACAAGATTTTGAAAACAAAAGGGCCAAAATATTTAAACAGAAATTACGTCGTGTGTTCCGACCATTTTTCGGGAAAAGATTTCGGAAACAGAAATCTCTTAAGCCAAGGGTATTTAATATTGTTTACTTATACTATTATTTAATGGTATTCTTTAACTATTTTTTGTTCCTTTCACCGAATTAGAAGTTTACTATCTAATATTTAACTTATCGCTAATTGTGCACACATAGATTTTATTTAGTTTTCTATCATTATACTTGATTAAAAATTTGTTTTTCATATGATCGCAATCAATTGAAGCACCTGCGCGTCACCAATGTGATCAAGCTATGGTATTCATGATTAAAGGTTTACACTGCAATTTTAAACAAATAATTGGTTACTATCTAACAAAAATGCTATGCCAAGACATCGCATCAAAGATTTGTTGTGCAATATTATAAAGTATGTTCAGGAAGTAGGTTTAGTTCCTAAAGCAATTGTTTGTGACCAAGGTGCTAATAACATGCAAATGAGAGAGTTTTAGGTGTGAGTGTAGAAAAGCCATTCATTGAAATTAATGATGAAAAAATTTATTTTTTCCATGATTCGCCTCATTTGATTAAGTCAGTGAGAAACGATTTGAAAAAATATTACTTCTATTGTAATGGTAAACTATGTAGTTGGTCTCACATAGAAACATTCTATCATAAAGATTCCAAAATGATTCCAAGATTGTCTCCAAAGTTGACAAAAAATGCATCACACTTCCCCCATTTTCATGTATGAGAGTATGTTTAGCTGTCAGAGTCTTAAGTCACTCTGTAGCTTCTGGAATCTTAGTGCATGTAGCATTCAATTCTCTGCCATCAACTGCTGTGAACACAGCAGAATTTCTTGAAATGTGTGACACATTATTTGATATATTTAATTCTTCTAGTTGCAAAAGTCCAAAAGAGTATAGAAAACCTTTAAGTAATAATTCAAAACATATGCAAAAGATATATGAGGTTATTGAATGTTTCAGGAAGCTGATAGTCTTAAATAAAGGCAAGTGTAAACCTATTTGTACCCAAGGCTGGATAGATAATATTATTGCATTGAGATTACTGTGGTCAGAGTTACATAATGGTTAATGGTAACCAGGAGGCTTACACAAGACTGCATCAAAAACATATTTTCAATCATTTGGGGAAAGGGAGGTAATAATGTAACTCCAGAAGCAACTAAATTCCGCAGTGCCTTAAAGAGTGTAATGGTAAATCAATTGTTTACTGCTTCTGATGACAGTAATTATGAAATTGATGCTGCAACATTTTTGTTAACACATAGTGATTTGCTGAAGTGTAATTTCAAAGTTAATGTCAATGAATAGTGTGTCCAGGACAATCATATAATTGGTTACGATGTAGCACAAACAAATGCAGAGCATTATGTGATGGGATGGGCATGCAGCAAATTACTGCATACCGAGTGTAAAAATGTATTATCATCTTTTAATAATGATTATGATATGGGAAATTTTCACATAGATATAAAAAAATATGATGACAATTGCAGAATGTTGTATTCAAATGGGTGTGGGAAAAAATTATCTTCAGAAATGTCAGCAATATTTCAAAACAATTTTAATATATTTTTGTTACAGAGCCCATATGGAATTAAAACTAAGTTAATTAATTATTTCTTAAAGAATGCAAATATTAAAGGTGTTTGTGACAATTGTATTAAATTATTGGCAGATAAATATTTCAAACTCCTTATTAAAGCATATGTGACAAAAAATAATGATTCATCTGAAAGTTTTCTGAGAACAAAAAATGCTAAATTAAGGATTTCACATATGTAATAACTGTATTATCCATGACCTGTATGATCAAACTGTGCATATAATACATTTTGGTGTTCAATGTGTTTTAATTTAATGTAAAAATGTTTTATTTTAAAAAATTGTTTCAATTTAATAAAATGAAATTAAAACCTTGGATTTTAATTTAAAAAATCTGATTCATTGCATTTGATTTGTTTTGTTGCTATTATTCCTTCCTTTGAATCAATATCCATTAATGTTTCCTACTAAATAAAATTATAATTCATGTTTTAAGATCATAAAATAAAGACAAAAAGATGATAAAATATTTATTTCGTTGTATTTTTGCAAGTTTTGTTAGACTTTATTAGTCTGCGGTGTTAGTGTTCTCCTCAAACCGCTAGATGTCGCTAGTTCGCGCTGTCTCCACTACGGTACATGCTAATTCACGAGAGTTTCCACCATTGTCGTATAAGCTATTTGTTAATACTTCGAAAAATATAAAAACTAGAATAATTTTTTATATATAATTTGTTTGAATATTTTACTTATATATACCCATATATACTTTATAAATATTAATTTTGAAATAATAATAATAGTAATAAAAATATTTTTTAGAGAAATTTTCCATTCACTAACACTGTTAATGATTTTATGTCATATTAATATCATGAATGATAAATAGATGGCGCCATGCATTTTATAAAGATAATAATGGTTGTTATCTGGCGCCATCTAGCGGAAATACTCTAAATTTATACGAAATTTGTTATTTTCGCACCATAAATTGTAGCTATAATTTGAATAAATTTTCTGAGCTTATACTCTGCTTCATTGAGCTGTAAAAATATCTCAGGGGTGTCAAATTTCCGTGGGTGAGAAGTATATTCTCACGGTTTCCCAAATGTATGGATTTACAGTGAAGGTTCATTAAGCCAAATAGAACTAAAATGAAAACTTCTAACAGTTCTATCGACCGTGAAGTAATAGGTGAATAACCGAATGATGATATCTTACTACAAACCTCGTGGTTAATATATTTGCAAATACCCTTTTAATAGATTCTTTACAACTAATATTAAATTAAAGCTGAAATTTACAGTTTAATATAATACTAAACTGAAACTGAAAACTAATATAAAGCATTTTTCCAAAATTCTCTGCTTCAATAAATATATTTCTGTAAAGTCGTTATCATTAGCACATCGTGTGATTCGTTAGATACTGTAAAACAATACGTCTAGAGCTTGTGATAAGAATGCTGTTTAATTTTATTTAAATTATATCTCAATGAATTAATTTTTAAATAAGGATTTAAGTAATTAAGAAATAAAAATAATTATAAAGATGTAAGATAGAAATAATTATACAGGATAAAAATTCAAGTAGCCTGAAATTATTTGTATATATTTAGACAATAATTAGTGACAGAAGAACCTAAAGGCTAAGTAATTTCAGTTTTCTTGAATTTCCATCCTTATAATTGCTTCTATTTGGAAGTTTTTAAACTCGAGAACACAAAGCAAGGGCTTATAAAATAATCATTTACTGGCCCTTACTCTTTTTCCAAGTCTCTATAAACTGTAGACAAAACTAGAAATATATTCTTGGAATAATCTAGCTCTTCCTAATGGATTTAGGACCCGAGAAAAGCTTAATTTGGTCATGATCATAAGCAAGTATCATATTAAGCTTTTAACAGGAATAGAAAGAATATATTTGCTCGATATAAAAATATAAAGTTGTTAATCAATAGAAAAAGTGTCCTCGACTTATCTATATAAAAGCAAGCCATTTAACACGAAATAAAAAGATAAAAGATGTAACTAAAGAGAAGGAAAATACATGAAATTTTAGCCTTTAATAAAGATCATACATTTTTTCATCAGTATTTTAAGACTCACTTAACACAAACGTGAGTAAATCAAACTAATTTTTGCGGATTCTGACACTTTAAGTGCCTCCTCCTCATCTATATAATAAATGCTACATCAATTATATTGTCGAAATACATTAAGTTCAAGTATTCTTTGAGGTAATACAAAGAAGTTCACTAATGACTCTCTCTATTAACGGGTGATGTCATAGGAAGCGAGTGTCGGGGAGAAAAACCAGTCATGTGATTCAGAGGTTAGAGGTCTAAGTCATATCCCGTATCCTGTCAAGGCCTCTTAACAGGAATAGTCTGATAAAACAGATCTATTATTTTGAAAAATTTAATAGATGTGATAGTAATTTTTACGTATTTCCTGTGAGAGAAAGTAGTTTTTTCCTTCTTTTAAATTATATAGAAGTGGTTTCATTTACGTTTTATATATTAT